GCATAGTTGAAACCCATTCCTTCCATGACTTCCAAATTCATGCAGATACGTACAATCCAAGGAGTCATGGAATGAATATGAATATCCATTAGTTCAATGTTAAACCATCCGTTTATGAAAATACTGTGTTATCCTGGGAAAATCCTATAGTTTCCCTAAAAGTAGGTTGTTGGTTATCCGTTCTAAAATGAAGTGTACAAGTATCTACCATACTTATATCGTTAAACGTAGTTTCCTTTGAAAAACCCTGGTTACTCACAGTGAGGTATATTAGCCTTATTACATAAATAAAACTAATAAAAACGTGGTGAACTAAATCCTGAAGGTATTATTAATACCCTCTAGTAATCAATTGGTAATTACTCTGAGGTTAGTTCACTCGATCCATTATTACGTAAGTAAATCGCTGTTATCTTCATTGCGAGTTTTATAACCATACATTAACTTGATATGGCACGTATCGGGGCCAGTAACCTTTATGACTTTGTCACTCGTAGACCTGCCGGTCCCACTGTAGCTAGCAGCGAGGTGCGGGATAGTCAGTCCAGTATAGATCTATACACAACAGTCACGCTCTCCCTACAAGAGATTCTGGTTATAAGTTCTAGTCCTACACTCTGTTTCGGTGGTGAGTGTTACCAAGGACGTGTCTCCAACTTAGACTAACAAATTTACAAGCAATAATATTGAAAACCCTTTTTGTAATTAACATGAATCCTTTATAAAATGATATCTTTTACTTCATGATTCGTAAGTTCATTGCCGTAGTTTTGAAAACTGTTTCTGCGAGTTGATTTCTTAACCCATTTGGTAAAACTGTTTTCCATGTTCAAAGTATATTGAAAATATAATTATCTTAAAAATATATATATATATTTTGAGCCCAAGATTACTTGTGATTTTGCTTGTATTCCCCCACCCCCCCCCCCCTGAAAACATGAAAAACTCGGAAAAGCATAGGGGTATGAATTCACCTCGAACAAGTGGTTTGCATGAAAGACCGGTATGAGATGTCGAGTGTCAAGTGAAGTCTCGAACACAATTGGATCCTAATTATCATGTAATAACACATATAGGGTACTTCTGTTTCATTGAATTCTCGCACTCCCAAGTGAATTCAGGTCCCCGCTTGGCATTCCAACGAACCTTCACTATCGGGATGCGGCTTTTTTTCGTTTGTTTGGCTTCCCGGTCCATGATTTCAACTGGTTCTTCCACGAAGTGTAAGCTCTTGTCTAGTTCGATCTCATCGAGGGGAATCACAAGTTTCTCATCGGAGAGACACTTTTTTAGGTTCGACACGTGGAAGACGGGATGGACGTTGCTGAGTTCTCGTGGTAACTGGAGTTTGTATGCTACGGGACTGTGACATCCCCATTTTCACGGCCAGAAAAGACCGATTTTGTTTATGCTTTATAAAAATCAGAGTACCTCTTTTAATAAAAGTGTTGCGGAATTTGTTCCCAGAAAAACATGATAGATGCGTTATCAAAGCATTTCTGAACAAATGCATTTTTATTCATTTTAAAACATTGGGATGTCATCGTCAATACAGAAACATAAGCATAAACAGAACTTACATTCATTTACACTAGTGATCTACATCTCTTTTAAATCTCTCAGTGTAAAGTAGCTTCATATCGACACCTATGATACAAATAAGCTTGAGTGGGTCAGGTTGGGAAACCTGGTGAGTACATAGGGATTTCAATCCCACAATGTCATATCATATATACAATTTAGAACTCACAAAATATACAATTTCACCATATATATAGTAGCAACTCTTACCCCACCACGTTAATCCTCACAACGAGACTATCCATACTCTCGGACCTTAAATTTCACCTCTTACTTAATCCATACTCTCGGACCTAATTCATGCTCTCGTATCGATAATAGTGCCCATTCCATACTCTCGGATTAGGGACAAGTGTCTATGTGTAAAATCCATTCTCCCGGATTAACGACGAATGACTATGTCCTATCCATACTCTCGGACTGAGGACGACTGACTATGTCTTAATCCATACTCCCAGACTAAGGACAACTGACTATGTCTTAATCCATACTCCCGGACTAAGGACAACTGACTATGTCTTAATCCATACTCTCGGATTAATGACAGTTAACTATGTCCAATCCATACTCTCGGACTAGGGACAATGACTATGTCTAATCCATGCTCCCGGATCAATGACATATATTACAGTTCTATTCTATGAGTATAACTCACTCGTACTCGTAAGAAAATACTACCCAATATTCCTTATAATTAATTTAGGTTTACTCTTTATCCTAAATCATCATATATAATCAGGTATGTTCTTTAACACGTATTTCAGGCAACATCAATTAACTCGCACATAAACATATAATTAATACTTCAATAAATATTTGTATTAAAATCATGTTCATGAAAAGGACTATGCACTCACTTGATTAGGTGGTGATTCCGAACTCAGACAGCGCTTCGTTATCTCAAAACAATTTTTCCTTTGACAAAACAGCGGGTTTTATAGAAAATCGGGCTTCGCTTGGAGCAGCGCTTCCGAACCGAAAGGCTCTTCTTCTCGGAGCCGTCGGGCGCTCCGGGTTCCGCCTCGTGCTAGGGAGGTTCCCTAGGCTTTTCGGGGGGTTTCGGGGCTAGAGAGAGGTTCTAGAGAGAGAGAGGGAACTTATGAGAGGTATGAGGAAGAATGGAGGCTTCACCTCTTATTTATAGGGGCTGGAGGGTCACTCACGTCGTGAGTTTTATGATTCTCACGTCGTGAGCCAACTTGGGCACCAAGGCAAAGCCTGGTGCTGACACGTGGCATCGCACATAGGGTGGAAATCAGCCGACTTTCAAAAATTCATAACTTTCGCATACGAGCTCCGATTTCGACGTTCTTTATATCCACGCGTAGGTAAAAATAAGATCTACAACTTTCATTTTGACTCCGTCGGCTAGTTCTCGACCGATCTTAAATTTAACAGTAGGAGGAGATTAGATTGTTAAATGACCGCGAAGAATTCGTAACTCCTTCATACGGACTTCGTTTTCATCTGTCTTTTTATCGTTGAGTTCCTATTAATGAGATCTTCAACTCTCATTTAGGTCGCGTAGGCCAAAAACCGCTCGAACTAAAATTCGAGTTTCGGGCCGTACACTGCTATGCCAAATCTTAGAAAATTCATAACTTTCTCATACGAAGTCAGATTTGGGCGTTCTTTTTTTGCATGTTCTCGGTTTAACGTATACTACAACTTTGGTTTAGATTACTAAGGCCAAAAAGTCTTCTATCGTAAATTCACTATTTACGTTTCCCGGTGCCGTGCCGGTTTTGCCGTAAAACTTCGACGGCCCATAACTTCTTCGTTATAACTCGGATTTTGGCGTTCTTTATATGCACGAAACCCTTGAGACATATTCTACAACTTGGTTAAGATTAATCTTTTGTCAAAAAGTCATTTTCGACCCCTATTATCTCTAAATTGACTAACCCTGATCTACGGGCGTTACAGGGACCGATCCTATCAAGGATCTCGAATGGTCCAATGTACCTTGGGTTTAGTTTTCCACGCTTTCCGAAACGTATCATGCCTTTCCAGGGTGAGACCTTCAAAAGGACACGGTCACCAACTTGAAATTCCAAGGGTTTTCGTCTCTTATCGGCGTAACTCTTATGTCTATCTCGTGATGCTTTTAGTCGTTCTCGGATTTGTACGATCTTTTCAATCGTCTCTCGGATGATTTCAGGACCCGTGAGAGTGCTGTCGGGAACTTGACCCTTGACTAGCTGCGTGTCACCCACTTCAGCCCATCACAGAGGGGATCTGCACTTACAGCCATAGAGGGCTTCAAACGGCGCAGCTTTAATGCTAGTATGGTAGCTGTTGTTGTAAGAAAATTCGACCAAGGGTAGATGAGTGTCTCATGACGTGCCGAAATCGATGACGCAGGCTCTCAACATGTCTTCCAATGTATGGATTGTCCTCTCACTCTGTCTGTCTGTCTGTGGATGATAAGTCGCGCTCATATCCAACTTAGTTCCAAGAGCCTTCTGTAATGATTGCCAAAATCTCGAGGTAAACCTGCTATCCCGATCGGAGATAATGGATACCCCATGAAGGCGAACTATTTCTCGAAGGTATATTCGTGTGAGTCTCTCCATCTTGAAGCTTTCTTTGATCGGCAGGAAGTGGGCGGATTTAGTCAGTCGATCTACAATTACCCAGATGGCGTCGTGCCCACTCAGAGATCTGGGTAACTTAGATAAAATCCTTGGTAATCCTTTCCCACTTCCACTCAGGTATTTCTGGCTGTTGAAGTAAACCTGAGGGCTTCTGATATTCTACTTTCACCTTGGCGCAAGTCAGACACTTGCCTACGAAGGTAGCGATTTCTGCTTTCATGTTCGGCCACCAATAGAGTTGTTTGAGATCCAGATACATTTTATCTGAACATGGATGAACGGAGTATCTAGTCTTGTGAGCTTCGTTCATGACAACCTCCCTGTACCCGCCGTACTTTGGGGTCCAGATCCGGTTCATGAAATAGTAAACTCCGTCTCCCTTGACCTCTAAGGTGTTGTTTGTTTTTTCGAAGCGAAAATTTCTGAAGTCTGCGGACCACCTCTGCAACTCTCTGCAGTAGAAGAGGTGGACCAAACGGTTGTATCTTGTAATAAGAAGCATGTTTATTTTTTCACCTCTGCAGACTGCTGCAATAAATTAAAATTTAAATAAACTAATTTTTTACAAAATTAAAATAGTTTTTCAACACCGGAATTTTAACAATTCTAATCTTACAACATTGAAATAAAATTCACACAACCAAATTAGCCTTACAATAACAATTTATTTAAAATAATTTATTCCATATTTTTTTAGCATTATCCATTATAAAATATTAATAAAAATAGAATTATATTAAATAATGACAAATTAGTCATTAAACCATGAGGACTGCCCAATTCACAATTGATCATTAAAAATCACATTCTAGCAACTAGTTATCATTTAAACACCGACAAAATTTCATAAATATCACTCTTGTAAACATGATTTGGATCTCTACCAACAAATTCAGGCACACTATCCCCGATCTTAATCAAACTAAAACTAGGAATCTTTTCAATTCCTTTCTCTCTCATTTCCAACCTAAACCTCAAAGCATCTTCCCACCTTCCAAATGATGAACTCAAATTTGCAATTAATGTCCAATATCCATAATTTACAACTTCTTTATCAAATACTTTCCTACTTATATACTCAAACAATTCATCATTTCCATGTCGAATCATGGTAGCCCAAATTACCGAATTAGCCTCCAAATCCATGTTTTCTATTAATCTAATTTCTCCATGGTTGCAAGCTGACAACAATAAACATGACATCATGTGGTTTTATTCCTTCACCACACATATTTGTTAAAAACTCCAAAGCTTCTTTACATTTTCCATTAACAGCCAACCCTGACACCATTGTTGTCCATGTGATTATAGATTTGTTGGACATAGCCTGCAATCATAGCATTCCAAGTTACTTACATTTCTTTTGGTTCCCATTTGATCGAACATTTTTCTTGCTGATTCAAGATCTCCAGATGCAGCGTGTTCTGATATGATTGATGTACATGTTAAACAAAATCAAATTGATTCAAAAATCGATTATTACAAATCGGTTTTAATTCCAACATAAATCAAAATCGTGAGAAAATCAATTAATTTCCAGATGTTAATCAAGAATGGGATTGAGATAGATCAATTAGATAGAAAAGCAATCACGGTCAAGCAATAAAGCCAGATACAATAAATTAGTCGAACATAAAGCATGAACAACTTGTAATCAGAAGAAAACCATATGATAATGAGATTTGGACACTCAGAAGTCAACAAACTGATGATATTCAAAAAGTTTTGGGATTGAACTTAGATAATGAACAGCAGCTCAAACGCATTTGGGGTCAAAAAAAAACGTACCTGTCGATTTCACGAGGAAGACGCCGGCGAACTGAGCAGAACGACGGCGACAACGCTGTTATTTATCGACGATCAAGGCTACGACGATAGAGAAGGAGGACGATTCGATTGGGGAAGGAATAAGGAGGGAGCCACGTTTTTTTGAGTTCCTCGTTCTTTTTTTTTTATTAGGTTTAGGTTTAGAAGTGATTTGAAGAGGTAAATCCAATGCTGTATGGTGCAGAGCACGGCAGAGCTTTTTAAGTCTAAAGCCTTTTAAAAAACAAACAGTTGCAACATAGCGAGTGTTGCGCGTGTGCTGCGTGGCGCAGCAAAAAATGGTTAGAAGAGGTTTTTTCTAAAAAACAAACAGCACCTAAGTTCTTTTCCATTCCCCACAGGGTTTCATCCAACATGTTCTCTGGTTTTAAGGCTTCCAGCTGAGCCTCTCGGATTTGTGTGGATAATCGGGAATGGATGGTCATAGTCAATGCCTTCACTCTACGACCGGAATACTCCTTGCGGCTGAGGGCATCTGCTACCACTTTGGCCTTGCCGGGATGGTAGCGTATTTCGCACTCGTAATCACTGAGTAGCTCTACCCATCGCCGCTGTCTCATGTTTAGCTCTTTCTGATCGAAGATATGATGTAGGCTCTTATGGTCGGTAAATACAGTGCACTTGGTCCCATAGAGATAATGTCTCCAGATCTTTAACGTGAAGACCACTGCTCCCAACTCTAGATCGTGAGTTGTGTAATTGACTTCGTGTGTTTTCAACTGCCTCGAGGCATAGGCGATAACCTTTCCTAGCTGCATGATCACACAGCCTAGGCCCTGATTGGATGCATCACAGTAGACAACAAAGTCTTCCGTCCCTTCGGGCAGGGACAAGATAGGTGCGCTGCATAGGGCCTGCTTCAATGTTTCAAACGCAGTGTCTTGCTTCTCTCCCCAACTAAAGGTTACACCTTTCTGTGTCAGGGTGGTTAAGGGCTTAGCGATTTTGGAGAAGTTTTGGATAAACCAGCGCTAATAGCCAGCGAGACCCAAGAATTGGCGGATTTCTGTGGGTGTCTTTGGTGCTGACCAATTCTCAATCGCTTTGATTTTGGAAGGGTCCACGTGTATGCCTTCCTCGCTAACCACGTGACCAAGGAAAGTTACCTTCCTGATCCAGAATTCACACTTTGAGAATTTTGCATATAGTTTCTCCGCCCTTAATGTTTCTAGCACTAGTCTCAAGTGCTGTTTATGATCATCTTCGCTCCATGAATAGACAAGTATATCGTCAATGAACACGATCACGAACTTGTCTAGGAAAGGGCGGCACACTCGATTCATCAGGTCCATGAATATTGTCGGTGCGTTGGTTAGACCGAAGGGCATTACTACGAACTCGTAGTGTCTGTAACGAGTTCGGAATGCTGTTTTAGGAACGTCATTTTCATGAATTTGTAACTGATGGTACCCTGATCGAAGTTCTATCTTCGAGAAATAACTGGCTCCCTGAAGTTGGTCGAAGAGGTCGTCGATTCTGGGTAGGGGATAACGGTTCTTGATGGTAAGTTTGTTCAGCTCTCGGTAGTCAATGCACATCCGGAAGGATCCATCTTTCTTCTTCACGAATAATATCGGGGCTCCCCAGGGTGAGGAACTTGGTCTTATGAATCCTTTGCAGATCAGCTCATTGAGCTGGTTGGATAACTCTTGCATTTCTGCCGGCGCTAGGCGGTAAGGAGATTTAGCTACAGGAGTAGCTCCGAGGATTAAGTCGATACGAAACTCGACTTGACGCTCGAGAGGAATTCCTGGGAGATCTTCGGGAAAGACATCAGGAAAGTTGCAGACTTCGAGGATGCTCTCGAGGTCTTTAACTTTTTGCGTTTCATGGACAACATGAGCTAGGAATGCATGGCATTCCTTCCGCAGATACTTCTGAGCCTTGATGCATGAAATGATACGAAGATTCGAACTGATTTTATCCCCGTAAACCATGAGGGATTCACCAGAGGGAAGATTGAGACGGATAGATTTCTCGTAGCAAAGTATATCAGCACGATTGGGTCTCAACCAGTCCATGCCGATTATGACATCAAAGCTTTTTATGGAGACTGGCATAAGATCGATGGGAAAGGAATGATTGTCTAGGGTAAGAGTACAACGTATGAATATGTCGTCAGTGCTCTCTTTCTTTCCGTTAGCCATCTCGACGGTGAATGTTTCGGTTAAAGGTTAGGATTTACATTTGAGTAGATGTTTGAATGCATGACTGACGAAACTTCTCTCCGCACCAGAATCGAAAAGAATGCATGCATAAGAGTTGTCAAGGAGGAACGTACCCGTAACAACGGTAGGATCAGCGACCGCTTCCTCTTGGCCCATAGCTAGACCTGCCAAAATCTGGCACGACACGACAACTCGGCACGAACCCGACACGAAGTTAGCGGGTTAGGGTCAGAGATTTCGACCCGTTTATGTACACGGGTTGACACGACACGACACGATAATTAAACGGGTAGGGTTAGGGTCAAGACTTTCAACTCGAAGATGACCCGTTTAATTATATATATATATATATATATATATATATATATATATATATATATATATATATATATATATATATATATATATATATATATAAATTTCATATTTTTATAAATATTTTCAATATTATACATTTGTAGTGGCCCAAATTCAAGAACTAAAAGTAAAATTCAAAATTTCAAAGTGACTTAATTTTACTCCTCCTCACTACTTATCTCATTTGCTTGCTAACTCTAACTCTTTCCATTTTGCTTTCTAAACATACTACTACCTCTGTCCCATATCTATTGTCCAATTTTGACTTTTGAAGTCTTTATTCTTCAAATTTGACATTAAATATTTTTGTTTTTGATATATAACACTTAATGCAAAATATATGAATGGATTGTGTTTTAAATGTCTTTTCATTGTTATAAGTTTTATCAAGTAATATATAACACAAATAAAAACATTTAAGGTCAAAGTAGAAAAATAAAAACTTCAAAAGTAAAAAATGAAAAATAAATATGGGACGGAGGGAGTATAATTTTTTTTCCGTTCCACCTCCCAACTCCAACATTTCACTTTTTCATTTTTTTTTCCTCCATGACTCTTACTTTTCAACCTGTAAAATGTTTCAACCCAGCATGACACAGCATATTTATAAGGTTTAAACCTTAACCCAAAACCCGACACGAAATCGATATGAAAATAAACTGGTTGACACGACACGACACGATAATTAAACGGGTCGGGTTAGGTTCAAGCACTCTCAAGCCGTTTAATGTCTTGACACAGCACGAACCCGACACGACACGACACGTTTTCCAGGTCTACCCATAGCCAGTACCCTTCCTGTATTGCCACCTGTCGTCGCCTTGGGGCAGTTTCTTTTGAAATGCCCAACCTGTCCACATCCATAGCAAGCTTGACCAGCGCCCGCTCCCGGAGTCTGGTTGGTTGGTTGGGCTGGTGTCCTGCAGAATCGAGTTGTATGTCCCTTCTTTCCACAGTTGTTGCAGTTCAAATCATGGCAGGGCCCGTGATGATGAAAGTTACACTTGTTGCACAGAGGTAGTTTCCCAGCATAAACACCAGTAGGAGCTTGGGTGGTTGGAGCAGCAGCTGGAGCAGCAGCAGGAGTAGTAGCAGGAATAGTAACAGCGTGGACTGCCACTATTTGTTGTTTCTTGGAGGGATCCTGAGAAGACTGGCCCTTGCGCTTGTTCCAAAACTTCTTCTTTCCCCCATGGTCAATTAGAGTTTGTGCCAGACTCTTGGCGCTGTCAAATGTAGTGGGCCTAGCAGCCAAGACATTTCCTTTGGTTGGGTGCGTCAGTCCCCAAATGTACCTCTCGATTTTCTTGCTTTCCGGGGTGACCATTCCCAGACAGAGGAGAGCTAGATCACAGAATCTAGCGGTGTAGGCAGTAATGTCGGAACCCTTCATCTTCAAATTCCAGAGTTCGTGCTCCAACTTTTGCACTTCGCCCCTCGGGCAGTATTCCGCAAGCATGAGTTCCTTTAGTCTTTCCCAACCCATGGCATTAGCCAATGGCAGAGTCAGGGATTTGACTTGACCATTACACCAGGTCAAAGCTCTGTCGGTGAAAGTGCAGGCGGCAAACTTCACCTTGTTTGCTTCGGAACAGGCGCAAATTTCGAATATGGATTCGATATTCTCGAACCATCGAGTCAGAGCGATAACACCTCCATTTCCGTCGAATGACTTGGGTTCTGCGGTCATGAAGTCCTTGTAGGAACACTCCTTTTCATGTCCCTGACTTTCGTCTTGTCTTTGAGGTTCGGTTCCACCTCCAGCCCCACCAGAGTTCACTTGTGTCATTGTTGCAGTCACGGCGGCTGTAACTGCTGCCTGGAACATGACGGGGTCGAACTGAGGGGGTGGTGGTGGTAGTGGGGTGTCGTCGTTTCTTCTGATGGGTCTTCGTCGAGGACGCATCTTGTTCTAGAAACAACCAGGAAGAAGAGGATGGTAAGTCCTCAAGATATATGAAACAAGATATATCTCATCCTGATAATAAAAGTGTTCTACCAAGCGATAAGCACAGAAAGGTTACTAATGCAAGTAAGTTATCGCTTAAGAAAGAAAGTGGTATCAACACTTGGAATGAATCTATATACTGAATTTGGCTCTAGCTAAAATACTCCTATAGTATTTTATGTTGGATGTTTTTGTTCTTGGTAAGTTTTAGGCTTGCTGTAACACCACAGTCACTCCCAAGCACATGTTGGTCATGTCTCGAATGAATATAGTTGATCAGGCTATATTGACCCTAGACATGATTACATAACTGCCCGGGTTTAACCGCAGTCTCCCAACATCCAAATACTTTTGTTTCGTTCTACTTTTAACACTGATTCAGGCACTTAGGTATACACGTATACTTTTTATAAAAATATTTATATTTTGAAAGTATACTTTTAGTTTAGAGCACTTAGGCCCCTTAATGTTTATAGTTGTATACCATGTAAGGTTCGGTATACTTAGTTCACTATAAACAAGAGCTCTGATACCAATCTGTCACACCCCAAAACCGGAATGGCGGAAACGTTCTGGGGTGGAGGACGTCATGTTTAGCATCACAACCATTGTATAATAGCAATCATAGTAACACAACCATTACAGTGAATACATATATGGAAAATGTTTACATCTATTTGAAACTTGTTTGAGTACAACAAAAACGTATGCAAAATATAAAGACATGACTCTTATTGCTCCGGCTTCTAAAAATCCAAGAAGTACCTGTCTACTGATTCCCTGAGAATACAAGCAGTTTGAAAGAATATCAGCATAAAGCTGGTGAGTTCATAACCATTTAGTTTTGATGGAAAATGTTCTTTGCTTCTTTTGAAAAGTGTTCCTCAAGAAAATCCCATATTTTCTTATGAAAAGCATAGTTGAAACCCATTCCTTCCATGACTTCCAAATTCATGCAGATACGTGCAATCCAAGGAGTCATGGAATGAATATGAATATCCATTAGTTCAATGTTAACCCATTCGTTTATGAAAATACCGTGTTATCCTGGGAAAATCCTATAGTTTCCCTAAAAGTAGGTTGTTGGTTATCCGTTCTAAAATGAAGTGTACAAGTATCTACCATACTTATATCGTTAAACGTAGTTTCATTTGAAAAACCCTGGTTACTCCCAGTGAGGTTTATTAGCCTTATTACATAAATAAAACTAATAAAACGTGGTGAACTAAATCCTGAAGGTATTATTAATACCCTCTAGTAATCAATTGGTAATTACTCTGAGGTT